CAGATATTGTCTATCGCCTCCTTGGTTTGACTGGGTAAGGTAAAAGAAATTCCCAATTCCGCCATTGACGAGATTCTTCGAGCTCTCTCTCGCTTTCTTCCAAATTTCCTTTTTCGTATTTAATAAATGTGGACCACTGGATCAGAATCGCCTTTTTGAAATAAACGACTCTCATTTGTCCACGTCGGTATGCCGTGGAATCGACGGTTAAGTGGTGGGGACCGGGTCAGCCGTGAGTGTCGTGCGGGAGGTTTAATCTTTGTGTGCCCCTTTTACCGGTTACAGCCGGTTTAGTACGGGTTATGTTGACGTGGTGGTGTAGGTATAAAACATCTGTACCGTACGTTAAATCGAACGGTGTTAAAGAAGGCATCTTCTTAGCCCAATATTTGATGGGCTTAATTATTAATGGGCCAAATATTATAATCGCTAACCTTCATATATATTAAGAGTCACTGCCTTCGCTAGGTTTAGTGTTTTCGCAGCCGCTTCAAAGCTATCTCCATTTGCTTGCTGCAATTACCTCTTTGCTCTGTTGATCTTCTTCTCCATCGACAAACATGGGGTAAGTTTTTCGTCTCTTAGATCCTTCCGTCTTTGATCTCTCTGCTTCGTTCTGTTTTTTCGCGGTTTATTGGATTTGATTTCCTTGTTGTTTCGGTCAATTACGATGGATTTATCGGGAAAACGATTCGTGATTATCATTGAGATTCTGTGGAAATGCGTGTTCGTTTCTGGATATGTGTGTTACACAATAGAGTATACTTCAATTGCCCAAGTGCTTGTTTTTAGTGTATGTGCTAATCTGGAGTTGTAGAGTGACATAGAACCCATGTGGCAGATTACTGGACATTTGATTTGATCTGTGCGGTACTAATGAATTGCGTATTGAGTCTTGTGTGGTCACTATTGATTATTTTTTGATAAAGGGCTTATCTTCTTGTGAATGTTTTGATGAATTGCTTAGAGATTGTCTGCTTTGGTTTTAGCAAATGATGTTCTGGTTTTTTTCCCTCTGATGTTGTTGCTTGTGATGATATGTTACAGTAAGACAAGGGGTATGGGAGCTGGGCGTAAGCTCAAAAGGCTTCGGATTAATCAGAGGTGGGCTGACAAGCAGTACAAGAAGTCTCATCTTGGTAATGAATGGAAGAAGCCTTTTGCCGGATCTTCTCATGCTAAAGGAATCGTCCTTGAGAAAATGTAAGTCTGTAAAACAGTGATATGTGCTTCTTTATCTGGTTTTTGAGAGTGTGGAGCTTGATTTTGATGAGGCTTCTGTGTTTGATTTTGCAGCGGTATTGAAGCTAAGCAGCCTAACTCTGCTATCCGTAAGTGTGCTAGAGTTCAGCTTATCAAGAACGGAAAGAAGATTGCTGCTTTTGTCCCCAATGATGGTTGTTTGAACTACATTGAGGAAAATGTAAGTTGAATCGATAGCCATTGTAAACCAAATCATCACACATGGATTAGTAGTTTGTGTCAAAATGTTGAAACATCTCTTGTTAATGTTGTTGTTGCAGGACGAGGTCTTGATTGCTGGATTTGGTCGTAAGGGTCACGCTGTGGGAGATATTCCCGGAGTTAGATTCAAGGTCGTGAAGGTTTCTGGTGTTTCGCTCTTGGCCCTCTTCAAGGAAAAGAAGGAGAAGCCAAGATCTTAAACAAAGCTTCAAGCTTTTGAAATGGATTTTGACATTTAAAACACCTTTTGGTAGTTCAGTTGAAAAGTACTTTTGTGTTCTGTTCTACTCTAAGATTCAAGAACTTAATGTGTTAAACCTTTTTTTATGAATTTTTGAATTTAGCTCCGATCTTTATATGTTATATTGGTAACTTTTAATTACCTGCGAGTGCTACGAGGAAGACGAAATGTTTAGCGGAAGCTCATAAGTATATATTCTTCTGTTGCATGGAAAATGTGATATATTCAGTAATATTGTTATACGACAAATATAAAACTAACAAGGAAAAACTCAAATCAATTCTTAACCAAATTTGTGAAGTTGGGGGGGTCAAAGACAGTGAAGTCTTCCCTAGTCTTTTTGCCATGTCTTCCGACAAAAACAAAATTCATCCAAAACAATTTATAATGATGTTCACAAACTAAACTTTGAGGTCATCTTCTTAACCCAATATTTGATGGGTTTAAGTCTTAATGGGCCAAATATTATAAATCGGCTCAGGTATTCGCTTAGCTTCACATATATAAATCCCAGCCGCTTTAAATCTCTCTATTTTCTTGCTGCCTCTTTGTTCTGTTGATCTTCTTCTCTCCATCGACAAACATGGGGTACGTTTCTCGTCTCTTAAATTGTTCAAGTGTTTGTCGGAGCTTCTTATTTGGTTTTATCGAATGGTGTTCTGGATTTTTCTCTCTCTAATGTTGTTTCTTGTGATGATATGTTACAGTAAGACAAGGGGTATGGAAGCTGGGCTCAAAAGGTTTCTGATTAACTAGAGGTGTGATGACAAGAAGTACAATAAGCATCTTGGTAATGAATGGAGGAAGCCTTGTTGTTGTCCACCACCAAAACATTTGAACTAGATTAGGGAAAATGTAAGTGGAATCAAAGGCCCTTGTAAACCAAAATGGATTAGTTGTTTCTGTAAAACTGTTGAATTCATCTC